CTGAAGCCTCATCTTTGATCTTTCTCAGCTCTTAAAGGATTTTACTCACATCTTTAGACCATGCATTCTTGAGAGTGCTCTGGTATCTTTGTTCTGAAGCCATTTTCTATGGTTCTTTTGGGTAGGATTATGTCTTCCAAAAAGATATGTTGCAGCTCTAATCCCCAGTATCTGTGAATGCCACCTTATTTGGAAATAGGGTCTTTTGCATGTGTAATCAAGTTAAGACGAGGTCATACTGGAGTAGGGTGAGCCTTAGTCCAGTATGACTGGTTTCCTCATAGGAAGAAGAGAAGACAGAGACACACAGACTGAAGAATGCCTTGTGGTGACAGAAGCAGAGATTGGAGTGATGGGGAGACAAGCCAAGGGACACCAGTTGCCAAGAGCCACCACTGTGGTACTTTGTTACAGCAGCCGCAAGAAATGGATACAGTTACCATACGGAGAACTTGGGAATCTTCAAAACCACAGCAAGTCTCAGTTCCTCCATGCTAAACACTGTTTCCTTCAGCTTCTCTCTGTCTTTTGGCATTTTACTGTAAGCAGCCATAAGCAAGCAGGCACTTTCAACACTTTCAGTTGATAAGGTACATTTTCTACTTTCCATGTAACTGCAGGCAAGAGTGTTGCTAAAGTTCTGCCCCTACATAGCTAGAATCTCCCTTCCTCCAGTTTCCAGTAATTACTCAAGTCCTGCAAGTCCTCACCCACAGCTTTAGCAAAGCTCCGAAGTCTTCTATGAACAATTTCTTCAAGGCATTTCAGGCTTCCGCTAAAATTCTTCTCAAAGCTCACCACCTAGTTCCAAGGCCACACCCACATTTTGAGTTTTTGTTACATCATCACCTAGCTTGAGGTGCCCAGATCTGTGTTAGGTATCTATTACTGTGTAAACACATTGCCCCCAGATTTAACAGATTAAAGCAAACACTCATTTTTCACACAGTTTCTGACAGTCAGGAACGCAGAAGCTGCTTAGCAGGGTAGTTGGGGTTCAGTGTAGCTCCAGGCTGCAAGTCGGCAAGCGACCCACTGCCCGGGTTTTGCAAACTCGGAGGCTCTGACCCCAGCTGATGGGTACACTTCGAAGCTCACTCATGTGGTTGTTTGTAGGAGGCTTCAGTTCCTTACTTCAGGGGCCTCTCCATAGGGCATGCTTATGACAAGGTTTCCCACACAATGGGTAATCCAAGAGAGAGAGAAAGAGTGAGCAACATGGAAGTCACCATGTTTTTTTAATCATCTCATCTCAGAGGGGGATATGTTATCACTTCCGCTGTATGTCGCACAGACCAATTCTGGTACAATATGGGAAAGGACTTCACAATAGCAGGGGGTAAAGATACCTGAGGGCTATGTTGGAAGCTGGCTACCACGGATATCTGTTATTTGGCACACGGAAGTTCACAGTTATGGTGTCATCAATTTGGCTGTGTACTGTTTCATACTTTTGAATTTTTTTTTAAAGATCAATATCACTAACTGTTAGGAGGTGAATTGTGTGTACTCCAAGATTCATACTTGAAAGTCCCAATCTCCCGCAACTCAGATTGTAATCATATTCGGAGATAAAGTCTTTAAAGAGGAGACTAAATTAAAAGGAGGCCATTAGGGTGGGGCCCTAATCCAGTCTGACTGGTATCCTTAGAAGAGGAAGAGACACCAGGCAGGGCATGCACAGAGGGAGAACCATGTGAAAAGACATCAAGAGGGCAGACATTTGCAAGCCATGGAGAAAACCTCAGAGGAGACCAACCCTGTTGACACTTTGGTCTTGGACTTGTAGCCTCTAGAACTATGAGGAAATAAATTCCTATCATTTAAGCCCACCAATCTGTGGTATTTTGTTATGGCAGCCCAAGCAGACTCATACACCAATCCTCTGAAAGATATCTGAAAATATCTTGCTATTGCCCAATGTGTGTTTTTTTAAAAAAATCATTTTTGTTCTTTTCTTTTTTTAAGATTTTTTAAATTTATTTATTTGACAGATAGAGAGAGGGAACACAAGCAGGGGGAGTGGGAGAGGGAGAAGCAGGATTCCCGCAGAGCAAGGGAGCCCGATGCGGGGCTCGAACCCACGACCCTGGGATCATGACCTGAGCCGAAGGCAGACACTTAACGACTGAGCCACCCAAGTGCCCCTAAAAAAGTCATTTTTGTTCTGATGTATATAACTATATATCAATAGATATACAATTAGATTTTTTTCTATATAAAATGCATATGACTAGATTTGTTTCTAAACTGAGAGTCTATGATTTCATTAGGAGAACTGAAACTCTTTACTTTATAGCCCATTTTAAATCTAATGCTCTACATTTTAGAGGTGGAAGCTGGAGGGATTTCTGTCTCTCTAAGATGGAAATGTAGCAGAAGACACCTCTCCATGGCTTATTGTGGATGGAAGTTAGGGATCATATTGTAATGGAAAAGTTGTTTCCAAGGAATTACCAGATTAGTGCAGTTGAAGACCAAATTGTTAATCTCTTAGGGCCAGGGGAGAGGACTTGTACTTAGCCAGATTCGACAAGAGTCCAAGGGGATGTCATAATGCGCAGGACACAGATTTTGGGTAGCAATCCTAAAGAAATTCTCAAACCAAGAAGCCCTCTTAAAACAGCCCTCCAGCCATGAGGCAGGCATATCTAAAGAAGCAGCACTGGAGAATCTTTGAGGCCTCTGAGAACATGCTTTCTGATTTGTTCCTTGCTCTGCCCCTGATTACACAAACTTCTGGTAACGTATTTATCTCTGCTGTGTCTTCTCCAGCGATTTGGATAACAGGCATCCAGTGTTTGGTAATCTTGTTAACTTTTAGTGTAATGAAATGCATTTTAACCTAACTTTCTTTAATGATCAAAGTCAGGACAAAACAATGTCTTTTGCCCACCCTGCAATTAAAGTAAGAAACTGAGCATGTTTTTACTCTAGCTTCTATCTTACCTTAAAATATATTATAAACCCAATCTATTATAAAACCAATGAGTCAAGTTTTTTTAATTCATCTTTTTCCCAAAAAGCATTTATAATATATTTTTTTTATTTTTTAAAGATTTATTTATTTATTTGAGAGAGAGAGAATGAGTGGGGGGAAGGACAGAGGGAGAGGGAGAGAGAATCTCAAGCAGACTCTCCATTGAGCCCAGAGCCTGACACTGGACTGGATCTCACGGTCCTGAGATCATGACCTGAGTCGAAATCAAGAGTCAGATGCTTAACCCAATGAGCCATGCAGGTGCCCCTGAACTTTGTAACCATTTTTTTAAAAACACATACTTACTGGTTGGATTTAGGGGGACCACAGATCCTTTTATACGTTGACTTCCTTATGTTTGAGTTAATAATTTTGATTTTTTAAAATGTCTTATATTTTTAAATTTTGAATAATTTTTAAGAAAGGCCAAACAAGTAAAATTGTTCCTGATTCTTAGGTATCTGAAAATATCATTCCACCACCTACACTCATGAATTAAATTTGGCTTGGAATAGTATGCTTAGATCATGAAATTTCCCCTTTAGAGAAGGAGATATTACTCCATTTGGAGTTGGTGAATAAAGACTGAGGTTAGCCTTATTTTTTCCCCTTTATTGGTAAACTATTCTTTTGTGTCTGGGTGCTTATATGATAATCTTTTTATGCTAGATTTGCAGGCTATATCCAAGTATGGATATTTTTTTCTATCAACATTTTGATTTTTTTATACTAAGGAAAATATTTTTCTATTATGTCTGCGATTTTTATTTCTGCTCCTCTTGTTCCAGCATTTTCAGGAATATTTATTACACATAGGTTGGATTTCTGCTATTTTCACTCTGTGTCTATCATCATCTCTTGTCATTTCATCTTTATCCTTTTCTTCCACAGTCTAGGAAAGCTAGTTCATAGACTACATTTTATCCATTGTTAATTCTGCTCACTAGTGCATCTCTAGCATTTTTGCCTATGATTTCATCCTTCTCTTATTTTGACTGGCTCCATGTTTGACAAGGGCAGGTAGCTCAGAGTGACTAAACCCACTCGGATGTGCCCCCGGTGTCTGGCAGGTCCTCACCTCACACCTATACCTGGAGGATGGACTGATTGGTACAACCCTGGCCCAGCCTCCAGGTACTCATCAGTCTGGCCTCTGTCCCACCAGCATGGACCTTGACCACTTTCTGCTCCCAGAGCATTTCCTAAGAGAATACCCATCCTCATGTGCTATAACCATCCTCTCCCCTTCTACTCGCTCTGTGGTTGTACTAGGAGGAGTAATCTTAGAGTCAGTATAAAAGAGATGAATTAAAGGAGGGGAGTTGCATGGGGCCCAATTCTGGCCCCCTTGGAACCTAATTCCCATGCAGAAGGGGAGCAGTGGTCTGCTTTCATGTTACAATAGCCCTGAACCCCTGAGCCTGGACAGAGAGTGGGCTAAGTAAAACCTTCTCTCAGAGTCTTTTTGCCTATTCATACTGGGATTAGAAAATGAAACACTGCCGAGGTGGGGGATGTTTCCCCACACCACCCCCACTGGCACTTGGTAAACTTCCTTCTAGATTTCTATCAATGTTAATACAAGGTTTTATGTTTTTGCAGAGTGTTATGGGTGTTTTAATAGGAAAGAGAGTACATCTCAGGCTAATCGAATGGTTATTTTTTGTATATGCCTGATGTACCTCTCCCCCCCAAAGAACAATGTATTCATTATACACATAGACAATGATTTTTCAGTTCCAATAAGGGCTAAAAATTACTCCACTCATCAACTCCCACGGCAGCCCAATGATGGCTTGCGGGCAGAATTCTAAACGACAATACAAAGGGTTAAACAGTAGCATCAGGCCTGCAAAGCAACCAGGACTGTCTTGTCATACAAATACCCTGTAGGAACTCTAACCATTTCCAGAAGCTTGTCATTACCCTGACTCATCCTCTACTACATTTAGCAGATCGTTCACCTGCAAGAATATGCCTTAAACACATGTCAAAAAGAAAAAACACAATGTATCTTTACCTTATAATAAATTCTGGCCACCAAACTCCGCTGAAGAACCCTTTCACGAAAATTCACTGCTTTCAACAGAAAGGCAAGATTATCGACTGTGTCCACATTAAGCACCAGGAAGCTGAAGGAAAAACACAGTGACCATTATTATTATTTTGTCCTCACCAAAGAATTCCGTGTGAAAAAAACAGACAGGGCCTGTTCTGTCAAAAAGAATTTTCTTCCAATAGAAAAGCAGTGTAAGTACAATTCAGCCCTTCACATCTCTCACTCGCTATATTCATGCTTCTTTCAGGATTTTTCTGATGAATGCTTGGCTTGAATTGATCCTATGTGGTTGTCCTTGTGGTATAAAGATAATTTGGGTTTCCTGCTTTTTTCATTTCCTATTGTATTAAAGGTAGTTATTCAATATTTCATAGTTTTTCTTCATTAAGATCTACATAATTTTCATCCACTGGGTTTGTAATAATTTTCTCAACCATTGTTTGGCATTTGTTATAATAATGATTACAAATGAATATTAGTAACTAAATACATCCATCACAAAGTATTTGTCAATGAATATTATTTCTTAAATACATAATGTATCAGGACTTGTGCTTATTACTGCTGTGCATTATTTAACAATCTCAGTAATTCTATGATGCAGATACCGTAATTATTCAATGTATAGTTTGGGAAACTGGGGCTCAGCAAGTTTCAGCAACCTGCTCAAGGTCACATGGGCAGAACATGCTCAGGCTCAGGTTTTGTCTTAGGGGACACCTGTATTTAAGGGAAAAGGAGCCCCAGAGGGCAATGAGAGGGCTGTGGGCAAGCGCAGGGTAGAGTGTTCTGCAGAGATAATGACTCTCTTCAGCAGGCAGTAAAGTCCATCTTCCCCATTTGGCAATGAGGAAACTGAGGCATAGGGAAGTTAAGAGACTTAGGCACAAAGAGACTCAAAACACCTGAGTCTCCCTTAAAACCCTATGGGTTTTTCAATATGTGGCTCTGTCTTTTGTGCTAATTTTGCACGCCTCCCACCCACCCTGCCCCATGAAACTTCCATTTAGATAGACAGCAAAGGGGTTAATTTACACTTTGGGTTTCCCATAGCTTAACCACCCCTTTGCCCTCCCCTTGCCCCATATCCTTGGGAAGTAAGTTATCATAAGACCCAAATAACTTAGATGCTCATTAATTAAAATTAAACGAACAAGTAGCAGTTGTTGCTCAATCAGAAGCCACAAGAGAAACATTAAGAAGCAATTGATACCACGCTTTTGAAAATTCCAAGCACTGAATTAATAATTGCCCTCCATGTACAGGAAAGATAGGAGGTCATTTACATACTAAGTACCAGGAAATCTAAATTATATCTGTATTTATTCTGAACCTTTAGAAGGTTGAGATTCTGTCCTAGTCTATTTAACACAAAGTGTAAAGAACTGTCATATTTTATTGAAAAGTATGTTTCAGTCATTCCAGAGACTGTTACTAGGAAGCCTGGAGACTGAATTTTTTTATTAGAAACTATCTTTTTTGGAATGTTTACTGTAGAATACTGTCCACCTGAGGCTGTGAACTTTGTGTACTACACGAATTGGATCTCATCCACCCACCCTATCATGAGAAACATGCCAAGCATGGCCACATCACATAGTTTTAGTAACTCACCCAGCATAGAAGACTGTGCAGATTCTGTTAAAAGTAGGAATATCGCTAAAGGCAACCTCTTTTTACGTTACAAGAAGGTCAAAATGACTCTAAATTTAAATTCAAATGCACATCATTAGTCATCAAAGAAATGTGAATGAAAACCACAGTGAGGCAGTATTATATACCCACCAAAATGACTAAAATTAAATATACTGACATCATCAAATGTTGAAAGGATACAGAGCAACCAGAATTCTCATACTTGTGGATGAGGTGTAGAATGGCAAAACCACTTTGGAAAAAGTTCTCATAGTTTCTCATAAAGCTAAAAAAAAACCAAATACCCTATGACCCAACAATTCTACTCCAACTATTCACCTTAGAGAAATAAAAACATATATTCACAAAAAGGCTTGCATATGAATATTCACAGTAGATCTACTTGGAGGAGTGAAACATTGAAAACATTCCAAGTGTCTCTCCATCAATAAGAAAATGGAAAGCAAATCCTAGTATATCCATAAAAAAAAGCCCTGCCTCCCTCCCCTAGTCCCTTGAAGACTTCTCAGTACCATCACCAATTCCTCCCATAGTTCACATGAAGGGGTAGTTTCTGGGTGTCTACACAAATGACAGCCTACTTGGAGGCATTTCAGGGCACCAGGAAGTTCTCAGCCCATCTTTCTTCATGCCCCCACTTGCTCATGGGTCCTTCTCTCATGAGTGGTCAGTATGACTGCCATCCGACAGCTCTACTTGACTATAAGCTCCATGGGCCTGTGAACCCACAGTCACTGCTGTGTCGCCAGTGCCTAGAGAAGTGCCCCATACACTGGAAACACGTTGGATGAAAAGGTTTTTCTCAATATACATAAAAATCACAGCAAGGTTTTGGGACTTAAGTAGATAAACACAGACAGACTTAATCAGTAAAACCTGGATGTGTGGGAGAGAGATGTGTACTGTTTCGGAATTTAATAACAGAGACAAAAAAAAAAAATGGACTGGAACTTTCCAAATATTTACAATTGGAATACTGCCTTTGGCACATCTCAAGTCTATCCCGGAAAATTTGCTAGGAATATAGATTTGCATATGGGTGAGGGGTTTTGCTTTCAAAATGATGGAAGCAAGCCCTGCTCTGCTATCTGGAAAAGAAAGAAAGGGCAGATGATTTGCTGCCAATTTGGGAACAAGTTTCCTGAATGGATGGAACTGATTCTGATGGGAATTGTACTGTTCTTTCAACTCCTTACATGTTGGAAAATTTTCAAACTAATAAATTGGGGGGAAAGCTAACAGTACTACACAATGCTCATTCAGAGCTAGACAGATTAAAAAGATGTACTGACTTTGTAGAGCGTGCAAGGACAAATTGAGACATCACAACTAATAGAGACTTAATTGAAACAGTCCTAGAATATGGGAGTTGATGTTTTCAAGCTTTAAGATAGACAGTGGTTGGGGGCGCTTGGGTGGCTCAGTCAGGTAAGCATCTGACTCTTGATTTTGGCTCAGGTCCTGATCTCAGGATTGTGAGATCGAGCCCCACATCAGGCTACGTGCTGGGCATGGAGCCTGCTAAGATTCTCTCTCTCCCTCTGCCTCTGCCCCTCCCTGCCGCTAAAAAAAAAAAAAAAAAAAGATAGACTACAGTTTGAATAAACAGGAACCTGCGCAGTAGTAAAAAAAGAAAAAAGGACTACAGATTTCCTAATTTTATTTTATGCCAACAGATATGAAAAGTCCCACACACTATTATTTATTGTGTTTCCCATGTTTTTAATCAAGATTGTAAGATGACATTTTCTAATATTTCCTTGGAAATTAGTTCAACACATTTTGCTTATGGAGACCAATAATCTGCCTCCAAATAAAAATAACAATTTAAGAAATACACAAAAGTTTAAAAGCCACAATAAACCCCTTAAAAATAGAATAAAGGAAACAACATATTTATGATCATAAATCAATGAAGTAAAAAAAGAGAAGATGAACAAAGAGGAAAGCTGCTTGTTTAAAAAAACAAACAAAAAAACAGACAAATATCCAGTAAGATTAAGCAATAATAAAGTAGAGAGAAAGTGTAAGAAATAAATTTAGGAATGACAAATGGGACATAACTACAGATCTAGCAGCAGTTTAAAAGATAATCAGAGCATAGTATGAAAAATCCTATACCAATAAATTCAAATCCAAATAATCAATTCCTAGAAAATATTATTTATGAAAACTGACACAAGAAGAGAAAGCCTAAATGGTCTTAAAACAAACTACAGTTGACTCCTGAACATGGGGTGGGGGGGGCTGACTCCTGTGCAAGAAAAAATCTGCATATAACTTTTGACTTCCCCAAAATTCAACTACAAATAGCCTACTCTTGACTGGAAGCTTTATCAATAACAAAAACAGTCAACACATATTTTGTATGTTGTATGTATTATATATTGTATTCTTATAGTAGCGTAAGCTACAGAAAAGAACGTGTTATTAAGAAAATCATAAGGGAGAGAAAATACATTTACAGTATTGTACTGGGTTTACTGAAGGGAGTCCATATGTAAGTGGCCCTGTGCTGTTCAAACCCGTGTTGTTCAAGGGTCAAGTGCAATTGAATCAGTAGTTTAAATATTCCCCCAGGCCCAGATAGTTTTCAGATAACTTACCAAATTCTCCCACAAAATAAGAAACTACTCCCAAAATAGCTTTGTGAAACCAGTAAAACTTGATATAAATTGAAATCAGGGAACTACAAGAAAGGAAAACAGTAGGCCAATAAGTAAACAAAAACCCTAAAAACAACACTAGCAAGCCAAACTCAGGAAAACAGAAAAATGACAACACAGCACAGCAAAATTGAATGCTTCTCAAGCATGCAAGAGTAGTTTAACATTAAAAGATTTACGAGGGTTATTTATCACATGAACAAACTACAGAAGAAATATAACATTTCAATAGAAGCAAAAAATCATTTGCAGGAAAATTCATCACCTAGTAATGACAAAAATATGTTTAAAATAACAAGTGGAGCTTCTTTAGGAAGTTAACGTGTGTCTATCAAAAACTTCAGCAAACATCATTCTTTCTTTCTTTTTGCAAACATCATTCTTAGTAGTGAAATATTAAGCTAATTCTTTTTAAAACCAGGAATAAGACCAAAGAATACCTTCTACATGAAAAAGAATAAAAGGGAATAGCCAGCAAGTGGAAAGAAAGAAATAAAAAGTCATCATTTGCAGATGGTATGATTGTGTATGGAAAAAAGAATCTATACACACAGAAGAAATTATTTTTTATGGTGAGGTTTATATACAAAAGTGAACTATATAATAAACGGGCAACAACAAAAACATAATTTTTTAAAAGTATTCCTTTTACAACAACAAAATCATAAAGTACCTAAATAAATCTATCAAAGGATATATTATGTATAGAGAAAATTCTAGATTTCTAGAAAACATTTAGATTAAAATCCTTGACACAAGCATCAGTTTTATATATATGTATATATGTCAATTTTTCTGCAAATCTATAGATTTGATACACTTTCAAAGAAAATTACAATTTTTAAATATTGTGGTAAAATATATATAACATAAAATCTACCATTTTAACCATTTTTAAGAGTACAGTTCAATGGCATTAAGCACATTCATACTGTTGTACCACCATCACCACCATCCATCTCCAGAACGTTTTCATCTTCCCAACCTGAAATGCTGTCCCCACTAAATAATAACACTCCCTTCTCTCCTCCTCCCACACCCTGGTAACCATTTTCTACTTCCTGTCTCTATGAATTTGACTACCCTACATACCTCAATAAAACCACAGTCATAGAATATTTTCCTTTTGTGTCTGCAGGGTTTTTTTTTTTTTTTAAGAAACTTAACAAACTGATTCCAAAACCTATATGGAAGTGCAAAGGACCCAGAATAGCCAACACAACTCTGAGTTACATTTTAGATATAATATAATATAATAATTATAAACCTAGTGTAATTGCAACAGTGTATTGTTGGATTAGGATACACAAACTGGGTAGGAACAAAGTAACCCCGAAATAGAAATTAATGTGAGTGCCAGGGCAGGCACTGCAGATCACTAGTAAAGGACAGTCTATTCAGTAAATGGTGCTGGAACAGCTGACAATCCCTAGGGAGAAAAAAAAAATGAAATTTGATCCCTTCCTCACACTACAGACAAAAATTTCTAATGGATTCAAGAACTAAATGTGAAAGGTGAAACTCTCAAACTTTAAAAAAATATATATAAAGTATATATATATAATACATATATTTATATATTTATCTTGTAGACAAGATACAGTAAGTGTGGAGTATAAAAGATTGTAAATTCCACTGTAATTTAAGAATTTATGTTAAAAGGCACCATAAAGAAAATATAAGACAAGGCACAGACTTGTAGAAGGTAGGTTGTAACATCTATAACAAACGATAGAAAAAAAAAGCCCACAGATCAGTAGTAATAAAAAAAAAGAAAAAGAAAAATTGGCACAACCCATGGATAGGCATTTCAAATGAGAGGAAATATAAGTGGCAAATAAACTTGTGAAAGCATTTTCAACTTTAACAGTAATAAGGCAAATGCAATTTAAAGTCACAGCGAGAGATCTTTATACATACGTATATACATATACAGTACTGAAAAAATTAAGACTGATAAAACCACGTGTTGGTGAGGATGCCGGTTCCACAGGACACACGCTGCTGGTGAAGGTATAAATTTGTACAGTGACTTCGAAAGATAATTTGTTACAATCTAATGAAGTTGAACGTTGGCGTACCCTACGACACAGCAATCTCACTCCTAGGTAATATATACAACAGCAACACACTGCAAATCACTAATGGGTCATAAAATCAGTTTAAAGTATTGAGATCAGTGTTTTTGAAAAAAACAACAATTGAAAACTATCAGAGACCATCACGAGTAATAGGCTAAGCATTGTTTTGTGAGATGTTTGTTCCAGTGGTGTCTGCTAGGTGTGTGTGGAGGCGGGGGCTCTATGGATGTGTGGGTGTCAGTGGTTGATGTAAAATTTATTTCTTATTCTGAGTCACAGCAACTAAATTTGAAGGCCCTGTAGAAACTCTTAGACATATTCCCCAGAGAATGTCCAAGATTTTCCATAAGAGATTTGTGCCAAATATCAAAAACACAACCCAAATGTCCACTGATATTGGAGATTAGAATGGGTAAGTAAATTGGGGCATATACACACGATGAAATATTATAAACAAAGAGAACAGTTCTTCATCTACACATACCACAACTCAGATGAATCTTAGAAACAAAATAGAGTGACAACAGGAAGCTACACCATACCACATATATTACCCCTTATTTATCAAGCCTAAAGACAATACTAAAAAATCAATAAAAACAAGCACAAGCATGGATTCTGAAGCCAAACCACCTGGGATCAAATCCTAGCTCTGTGGCTCACTAGTGCATAACCTTGGGCAAAATACTTAACCTCTATGCCTCAGTCTCCTCATCTGTGAAATGGAAATAATAACCTACCTCATGGGGCTTTGGGAATGAAAATCTCTAGTGTTTGGAATATGAACACACAATAAAGAAGGAACAGGAGTAGAATAAGAACAGAATTAGCAATGTTCTGGTTCTCCAGTTGGGGGGGTGGGGGCATGAGCGCCGATGCTACATAATTCATGTACTTTTTGTGTATATGGAATATTTAAAATTTCAACAAGAGTGAGTTGTGCCATGACAAAGCTCCATGCGCTCAGGCCCAGTAATAAGACACTGAGGGCCAAGGGTGGTGCCAGCCTAAGCAATGACGTACCTGGTTCTCAGCTTGTCACTCCCAGACTCAGCGCAGTTTCGGAGCCAGCTGAAAAGTGGCTTCTCTTTATGCTCTTTGGTGTATTGAGCCAGCAGTTCCCGCACCACAACCTGTGCAGACAGTTTATCATTCGTCAGTCCTTTGTCAAGAATGTAAAAAAGTGCTAGAGTGTCTTGAAATGCTGTAGCCAGATAAGGTCCAGTTGCTTCTAGCAAAGTCCTTGGAAGGAATCAAATATCCTTCCGGAGGCCTCTGCCATGGCAAATGTGTGGTGCTTCCACTACCACTGTCAATCCCTCCCCCATGGCCAACTTGACTAACCAGCTAACTACTTACTGCTCGCTCTCTACCACCTGAGACATCAGCCTCTAAGGCCAGTCCTGGGACCCAGTATTCTAGCTGACACTTCAAATAAAACCTATTTGCCTTCCCTGAACCAGATAGACGGATGGTCTGTTTTCTTTTTTGCTTCTAATATTCTATGGTTGATTACGCCTTTGGGGAACAGTATTAAATTGTATACATACAACAAGCTCCATCAATCTTCTCGTCGGCAGCTTTAGAGTTATAATTTGGTCCTAAATCTGCATGCTTTTCTGGTTTGGTTTAAAGAAGATGTGCATGTCTAGCCTGCTACACACAGAGGCCCAGTTGACAGTTGGCAGCAAGTGCTAGCCATGTCTGTGAGACCACCTTGGACCAACCTGCCTCCCAAGCCTCTAGCTGACCGCCATGGAAGGAGTGGGCCCAGGCTTGGGCGGCAGAGGGATAACCCCCTATGAGCTCAGCCCAAACTGCTGACCCACACAACCATGAGCTAACAATTGTGTGTTGTTTTAAGTTACTCCATTTTGGGGTGGTTTGTTACATGGTAATAAATAGTTGATTCAGTCACATACAAAACTAACTTTAGAATATTTCCTTCTTTGTTTCAGATACATTGATGTTTTTATAGAGATTACATAAAATGTTATATATACTTTCAATCAACAGTATATCTTAAATGGCATTTTTGGCTCACATTGCTGTCTCTCATTCTAGTTATCTGTTTAATGGCTGTATAATATTTTTGTTTAGAGCCATCATAGCTAATGAGACATTCCCATTCACTTAGATATTTAGCTTGTTTCCAATTTTATACTGTCATTAATTACTTTGATATCAATATATTCAGACAAACAGCATTCATTGTCCCCCCCCCTTTTTTTTTGGTTATTACCTAAGAATAAATCTCATGAACCCAACTGACGCAAAGATCCTTATAAAGGGCCACCCGGCCTGTAAGAGGGATCCTGGAAACTTATCAAGGCATATTTGCCTAGGGGAACTTTATTGGCAGTGCTGGGAAGAGCCAGTCACACAATTCATGGGACAGTCTCAATCTGCAGAGGACTGTGCCACATCCAGTTTCCTGCCCAAATCCATGTACTCAAACCCATACAGCCAACTGATAGCCCAGAGCCTAACTCAGTTACACCAAAGCTTTCAGGTTCTGCCCGTCCAAGCCTATGGAAGGCTTAAGCTCCCCTGCCCCCTAAAGTTAGAGAAGGCCATAGGACTTGCTTTAGACCAGTGACATGCAAGCTGGTGTGATGTTCCCAGTTATGACAGGTTCCTAACCAGGGGCTGCAGTCTGCTGGAGGTTGCCATGGTAATCCCACGCAGGCATTGTCCTCTATATTGTTATGTTTATTATAAATTCCTTTTGTTTCTTTGAAGTATTGTCTTGAATTCTTGAAATTATATCTCTAGATAAGTTATATTATCCATGATTTCATTTCAGGATAGTAAAGGTGGTATTACAAAATATTTTTTATAAAAAAGAGGGCATTAGGTCTAGTATGTTTAAGAATCACAGTACAGGGGCGCCTTGGTGGCTCAGTCGGTTAAGCATCTGACTCTCGATTTCTGCTCAGGTCATGATCTCGGGGCTGTGGGATTGAGCCCCACATTGGTCTCTGCACTCAGCGTGGAGCCTGCTTCTCCCTCTGCCTCTCCCCTCCTCGGTTCTCTCTCTCTCAAATAAATAAATAAAATCTTAAAAAAAAAAAAAAAAGAATGACAGTACAGTATTATGGGTCAAAGGATGTGAATATTTTTAAGCCTGCTGCTATATGAAATAAGTGTAAAAATCAAAACACTCCCAGCAACGGGGGGAGATTAACTAATTTTAACTAGAATTAAAATTAAAATTATATAGCAATCAAGTTTCACTGACACATCACTAGGATTAAGATTTAACACTGTTTTTTGCGAATCCATTACATTTATGATGGTTTTAACTCCATCTCCCTCTTGTTACAAGAGCAACATCATTCCAAGCATTAAAAAATTCCTTTCTCTGATTTCCACCCTTCCATATCTTTACCTTTCTCTATATTTCTCCATAGCATTTATTGCTGCCTGATGATCTAGAGCAAAGCAACTTGTCTCCTGGTTTCTTGTCTTTCTACTGTCCGGAAGGTAAGCTCCCGGAGGTCACAGTTTGCTCATCCTTACGCCATCACACAATGGATGACACAGAATTGAGAGTGGAGGAGTCTTTCTTGAATGAATGAACGAATAACTAAATAAATCCCCTTCCTGTTTTCAATTTTTTATCCAATCTCTTCAACTCCTTGATAATTCCTTTAGCTTTTGTCACTACTTCCACCTTTCTGATTTAAGCGACTTAAATCAGAAAAAAAAAATCACTCTAACTAGAATTAAAATTAGAATGATGTAATAATCCAGTTCAGGCGTTAAACTTAAGAGAAAAGACAGACAAATGGGGCTCTGGCAGATTAGTCATTTTGGATCTTTGCTCCCTTTTCTTTCCTTTTTGTTCCTTGCTCTTGGCATCTTTCCTCCTTTTCTAGGTCATAAGACAAGAAAATATCATTTTAAAAGTGAGTTTATTTCCTGCTGTTGACACTCCCTTGGTAAAAGATTAAATGATTGAAGCTATCAGCTACCATGGGGTTTGGGCATTACAGTCTCTAAACCCAATACGTTATTTGATAAATGACCAGAGAGAGGCAAAGAGATCAGTCACAATCTTGACTGGGCATGCAACAAAAATGTGCTTGTTTTCACTCACAGATGTGCTCCTAAATACATTATAATATGCTATTATGTGTGTGTGTGTGTGTGTGTACATATACATATATCAATTTTTTAACTTGCTATTTTAAAATAATTATAGACTCACAAAAAGTTGAAAACCTAAAATAGTACAGAGAGGTTTTATCTAGTCATCACCCAGCTTCCCCCCA